GCTGTCCTGGAGCTCTGGACATCAGGTGATCCACCTGCCTTGGCCTCCCAAAGTTCTGGGATTACAGGCATGAGCCACTGCACCCGGCCTATTTCTCTATTTTTAAAAAACCTGGTGAATGACATGGCTACAGGGCAAATGAAATAAAAATTGCCATAGTTGGTATGAATTTGTTATTTCCTTGCAGTTTTTCCTGATACAAAATATGAAAAAGTTTAATGTTATGAATTGGAGGTACATACTGACAGTTTATTTTGTCTACATTCTCTAATGTACGGTGCTGAAGAAGCACTTAGGTTTGTGCCCAGAAAAATGCCTACACATCGAGCAAAGGCTTGGAAAATAGTTAGAATTACATAAACAAGATTGAATAGTTATTTAACCAGATTATATAGTTCAGCCAAAATTATTGAAGTAATTATTATAACTTGATTCTGCTTTTTAGTGTTGTAGTTTTGATAACTCTATTGAGGTATCATTCACATATTTTATACAATTGACACATTTAAAGTGTATAATTCAGTGATTTTTAGTATATTTACTGGTTGTGCAGCCATAACCACTAAAAAATTTTTACTCTAAAAAAAGGAATGATGGCTGATTAGGAACAGCTCTGGAGTTCAGTTCCTAGTGAGAATGCAGAGGGTGAGTGATCACTGCATTTCCAAATGAATTTTTACTGCCCACAGATAGCAGATTCCCAGGTGGAAAAGCACCCTGAGTCTCCAGCATGGCTGTTTCAGCTGGTGCAGCAGGTCTCCACACAGAAACTCACACAAATCTGGGTGCCATTTCAACTGGCACCTGGAATGCCTGGGAGACAGAGTCACCCATTTAACTGAAAAAAAAAGGAGCTGAAACAGGGAGCCAGGTGATCTGGCTCAGCGGGTCCCACCCCTACAAAGACCAGCAACCTGAAATACTCTGGACTGATAGTTTCATAGCAGGCACAGCTGGACCTGGGTTGGTTCAGCTCTGGGAGGGGAAGAACATCTGCCATTACTGAGGCAGTCCACTACTACCGAGGCAGTCCGCCATTACCAAGGTGTCCACCATTACCGAGGCAGTCCACCATTACCGAGGCAGACTGCCGTTACCAAGGCAGTTCTAACTATACCTCTATAAACAAAACCACAAGGAAGTTCACACAGCTGCTGGGCAGAGCCCATGGCAGCTCAGCAATACCTCTGCTGGCAGACAGTGACTAGGCTACCTCCTAGCTGGGCAGGGCATCTCTGAAAAAAGGCGGCAGCACATCAGAAACTTATAAATAAAGCCCTACCTTCCCAGGACAGAGCACCTGGGGAAAAAAAGGCAGTTATGAGTTCCATTGCAGCAGACCTAAACGTACCTGCTCAGCAGCTCTGAACAGAACAATGGAGCTCACAGCTCAGCACTTGAGCTCCTGTAAAGGACAGACTGTCTCCTCAAGCAGCTCCCCAACCCCTGTATATCCAAAGAGACACCTCATAAAGGAGAGCTCAGGCTGACATCTGGTGGGTATCCTTCTGGGACAAAAATAACAGAAGAAGAAACTGGCAGAAACCCTTACTGTTCTGCAGCCACTGCAGGTGTTCCCCAGGCAAGCAGGGTCTGGAATGGACCTCCAGGAGTTCTACAGCAGAGGGGCCTGACTGTTAGAAGGAAAATTAAAAAACAGAAATAACAAAAAGGACGTTCATTCAGAGAACACCATCCGAAAGTCACCAACTACAAAGACAACAGGTAGATAAATCCACAAAGATGGGAAGAAACCAGCACAAAAAGGATGAAAACACCCAAAACAAGAAAGCCTCTCCTACTCCAAGGAATCACAACACCTCACCAGCAAGGGAACAAGGCTGGATGGAGAATGAGTCTGATGAATTGACAGAAACAGGCTTCAGAAAGTGGGTAATAATAAACTTCTCTGAGCTAAAAGAACATGTTCTAACCCAATGCGAAAAAACTAAGAACCTTGAAAAAAGGTTTGATGAAAAGCTAACGAGAGTAGACAGCTCAGAGAAGAATATAAATGACCTGATGGAGTTGAAAAACAACACGAGAACTTCATGAAGCATACACAAGTTTCAGTAGCAGAATCGACCAAGCAGAAGAAAGGATGTCAGAGATTGAAGATCAACCCAATGAAATAAAACAAGAAGGCAATATTAGAGAAAAAAGAGTGAAAAGAAATGAACAAAGCCTCCAAGAAATATGGGATTATGTGAAAGGACCTAATCTACGTTTGATAGGTGTACCTGAACGTGACGGAGAGAATGAATCCAAGCTGGAAAATACTCTTCAGGATTTTAACCAGGAGAACTTCCCCAACCTAGCAAGGCAGGCCAATATTCAAGTCCAGAAAATACAGAGAACACCACAAAGATATTCCTTAAGAAGAACAACCCCAAGGCACAAAATCGTCAGATTCACCAGGGTTGAAATGAAGGAAAAAATGCTAAAGGCAGCCAGAGAGAAATGTCGGGTTATCCACAAAGGGCCCATCAGACTCACAGCAGATGTCTTGGCAGAAATCCTACAAGCCAGAAGAGAGTGGGTGCCAATATTCAACATCCTTAAAGAACTTTCAACCCAGAATTTCATATCTGGCTAAACTAAGCTTCATAAGCGAAGGAGAAATAAAATCCCTTACGAAAAAGCAATTGCTCAGAGATTTCGTCACCACTAGGACTGCCTTACAAGAGCTCCTGAAAGAAGCACTAAACATAGAAAGGAACAACCAGTACCAGCCACTCCAAAAATGTACCAAATGGTAAAGAGCATCGACACTATGAAAAAACTGCATCAACTAATGGGCAAAACAACCAGCTAGCATCAAAACGGCAGGATCAAATTCACACATAACAGTATTAACCTTAAATGTAAATGGGCTAAATATCCCAATCAAAACACACAGACTGGCAAATTGGATAAAAAGTCAAAACCCATCAGTGTGCTGTATCCTGGAAACCCATCTCACATGCAAGGATACACATAGGCTCAAAATAAAGGGATGGAGAAAGATTTACCAAGCAAATGGAGAGCAAAAAAAGCAGGAGTTGCAATCCTAGTCTCTGATAAAATAGACTTTAAACCAACAAAGATCAAAAGAGACAAAGAAGGGCATTACATAATGGTAAAAGGATCAATGCAACAAGAAGAGCTAACGATCCTACATATATATGCACCCGATACAGGAGCACGCAGATACATAAAGCAAGTTCTTAATGACCTACAAAGAGACTTAGACTCCCACACAATAATAGTGGGAGACTTTTAACACTGCACTGTCAATATTAGATCAACAAGACCGAAAATTTACAAGGATATCCAGGACTTGAACTCAGATCAAGACCAAGCAAACCTAATAGACATCTACAGAACTCTCCACCCCACATCCACAAAATATACATTTTTCTCAGCACCACATCACACCTACTCTAAAACTGACCACATAATTGGAAGTAAATCACTCCTTAGCAAATGCAAAAGAACAGAAATCATAACAAATAGTCTCTCAGACCACAGGGCCATCAAATTAGAACTCAGGATTAAGAACCTCATTCGGAACCACACAACTTCATGGAAACTGAAAAACTGGTTCTTGAATGTTGACTGGATAAACAATGAAATGAAGCCAGAAATAAAGACGTTCTTCGAAACCAATGAGAACGTACCGGAATCTCTGGGACACATTTAAAGCAGAGTCTAGAGGAAAATTTATAGCAATAAATGTCCACATGAGAAGCAAGGAAAGATCTAAAATCTTTTTATTATTGAGTTATAAGAGTTCCCAGTGTATTCTACTTATAGGTTCCTTATCATATATATGATCTGCAAATATTTTCTCCCATTCTGGGGATGGTCATTTTACTTTCTCGATTTTCTTTGCAGCAAAAGTTCTAAATTTTGACAAAGTCCATTTTATCTACTTTTGTGGTTTGTGCTTTTGTTGTCTAAGAAATCATTGCCTAATTCAGGGTCACAAAGATTTACTCTTAAGGGTTCCTCTAAAAGTCTTATAGTTTTGGCTCTTATATGTAGGTCTGTGATCCATTTTGAGTAAGTTTTTGTGTATGGTGTTAGGTAGTGTTCCAACATCATTCTTTTGTAGGCAGGTAACCAGGATCCCAACACTATTTGCCCCATTAGGTTGACAATAAACATGAACTTTTATTTCTGAACTCTTAATTCTGTTCCATTGATTTATATGTTTTACTTTATGCCAGTGCAATCTGTCTTGATTACTGTAACTTTGTAGTAAGTGTGGAAGTTTGGAAGTGTGAAGCTTCCAAATTTGTTCTTTTTCAAGATTGTTTTGCTCTTCTGAGTCCCTTGCATTTTCATATGAATTTTAAGATCAC